TACTACCCTGTGCTTATGAGGTTTTATATTTCTAATGGTATATAAATTTGTATACCCCTTTAGAAACCTTTATTTCCATAATGCATTAAGAGATGTAAAATGCATATGCCTTTTGTACTGTTATATCTACCTCAGAGAATTTTCTTCAAGGGAATCATTCAGCAGGCTTTAATTAACCCATTACTGTATTCTAAGAACCACGCCAGGCATCAGAGTTACAGAAATATAGAAGAGACACATGATGTATTCACGAAGGTGTTATCAAGTCATCTGGTGGAGGTTAGAAAAGGCTTCATAGGGAAGAAGTGCTTGAGGTTGTCCTGAAAGGATGAGTAGTTAGCCAAGCACTTGCCAGGAGATAATGGTATGATACATCATGGCTTGTTCTGTTAATGATTATCTTAGTATGGCTGGGCATAGGATTCATATAGGGAAATATTGAGAAATGAAGTTGAAAAAACAAACCAGATTATAAAAATGTTTTATATACAAATCCAAGAAATTTGGAATTTTATCATGAAGGTAATAGGAAGCTTTTAGAGAACAGAAAATAAGAAACAGGCTGCGTGCAGTGGCTCATGGCTATAATCCCATGCTTTGGAAGGCCAAGTGGGAGGATCACTTGAGGCCAGGAGTTCAAGACCAGCCTGGGCAACATAGGGAGATCCTTTCTCTACAAAAAAATGTTTTAAAAGTTACCCGGACATGGTGGTGCGTGCCTGTAATCCCCGCTACTAAGAAGGCTGAGGCGGCCTGCGTGACAGAGCGAGACCCCCTCTCAGGGGTGAGGGACACAGAAAAAATGAGAAACACAGTCAGATTTGCATTTAGCTGGCTTTGTGGAGGTTCGAATGGGGGTGGCCAGTTTAGGAGTGAGGAGATGAGTTAGAAGAGTACTGAGGTTGTCCAGAAAAGTGATTTGAAGTGCCTGAGCCAAGACAGTGCAAGGGGGTACTGCGGAGGAGAAATAGAATCAAGATAGCCTTAATGGGTTTAGCAAGAAAATGGGTTGTATAATGCATAGTTACTTGTGGTGGTATTAACAACATATTTTAAACAACCTAATTGGAGAAAGACTAAGTTGGGACAGAAAGAAGTGAGGAGAAAGTAGGATAGAATAAACTGTGCTTTTAAATTATAATCATGTGTTATTTACCCAATCCTATTTGGTTTGGTTTTTTAATGTTAAGTATATAAAAATTACCTTCTTTTGGACAGGTATTTATCAGTGATTCTTATGGAAATATCTTACCTTTACAATACATCTCATATAAAAACCAAAATTTTAACCAGCCATCTAATATTTTTTAAACTTGAACGCCATATTTGAAAAGATACAAAGGCAGCATTCTTTATAGTTCAGCTGGCAAAATTTATACAATACTATTTTATATGTATATAATAGAGAGTAATTTGATTAAATTTAAGAATATATAGTTGTCGGAACATTACAAACATTTGTGATTTTCTTTATGCTCTTGTGCTGAGATCTCAAACATGTTGAAAAGAGAACAGAATTGTCTCCACCTGCAACATAGTCCTCTATGCTAATCATAAGAGCCAAAGTAACTTCCCTCCCCACCCACGTGTTGCCCATGTGTACCCTGAAAGGAAGTTATGCTTTCCTTTACTCCTGAATTATGACTTTTAGTAGTAACTAGCCATCTTGTTGAAATCTGGATCCTACTAAAGTACTCTATCAGAGAAACACAAGATAAACCTTTTCTTTTTGCTTCATTTTTATAAATCCTTCAAAAGAAAGCTTTCAGTAAAAATATCATATGTGTGAGTGTGTTTGGGTCTTTGTGTTGAAGTAGTGCAAAATTTTATAAAAAACAGAAGTAGAATGAATTATGACCTATGGTATAAAAGTGGTTAAATAGCAACACAATTGAAAACAGATAAGCTCCCATTAGCAAAGATTTAAACAACCAAAAAGTTCAAATAAACATGATTATTTTGAAATATATAACAATATAGTTTCTTTATAATATTGATGCTGAAGCACAGTAGGATCCCAAAATTAACACATTTTGAATTAACAAAATATGTAAAGTGTAATTTATTGTTGAATGTATTTCTTGTATTCTGTTTTACCACTATTAATTTATGGCATATAAAAAATTTTGATTAAATGCATTTCAAAGAGAATTTTGAATCTCTATTTTTGGGAAAAAAGTTTTTTTAAGAAGTTATTCTAAAAAAGATAAGTAGCTGTACCATATAATCTGTAACTTTAGTGGAATTTCATATGCATCTACATCTAATGATGAGGTAGTGAATGTGGTAAAGTGATTGAATTAATATTTTTTAAAAATTCAGGATTATTAAAAATAGAAAATTACTGTGACAAATTTGATAAATATATTCAATAATAACAGTTAAAACACATATAAATTGGGAAAATAAATTAATGATATCAATATAAAACTTGTTTAAGGAAAGTTTAATTTTATATAGTAAATTTCAAATGAATAGATGATTAGGATAAACAAAATATTCCTTTTCTGGCAAACTTCTGGATAAATAGGTGACTATGCATGGTTTTCCTAGTTTTTTTTTGAAACTAACAAGTAAATCACTAAATAAATGAGCTATATTCCCATATATTCCAATTATATTGCTATTTTATTTTTTAAATATTTTAATATGACTTTCATACTATAAAGGATCTATTGAAATTTTTAATTAATCTACTTTCTATTAGTGAAATATAACCTTCTTATTTCATTTTCTTATACACATGCCTAAGAAGGCAACTAATTAGCAAGTACTCAGATATCTGTGTAATGAATGAAGATATGCAGTCTCCTTATCTGAGCTCATAATTTCAAAAAGTAATTGCTTTCCTTCCCCTGCCCCCCAGGGAAAGTGAGATATATCTTAAGTCCTAATACCAAGTCAGAGTTTTTTTACATAAAACATCTGCTGGTGGTACACTGACAATGTGTGCACATACTAATTGTTCCATAAAAATATCATTACATCATTTGCATGAGCTTATAATTATATTTATCAGATAGCACTGACACTCATCCACTAAAGATGTAAACCATTGTTCTTAACTTATCATATCATTAGAGATATGAAAATCCACCTAGAGAAGAATTTAGAAGAAGAGCGCCAAATATTACTGCAGCAACAAAAAATATGTCGAAATCGAGCACGTAAATATTTTGTGGAGTCAAATAGGAGAAAAAAGTAAGTAACTGTATTTTATTCAGAGGTATAGAAATTCAAAGTCAATATAAATTAATATTTTCTCTACTTTATGGCACTTTATGAACCTAAGTCATGACAGTGCTTTATCTGTAAAACACTGATCAAGATTCATGTGGCTTTGTAAATTTTATTATTATTTTTCTGTCTAAAGCATAAGGATAGTGGTGTATTGTCTAGTTCACTGACTTTGACCACAGCAGTCATTTTTTTGGTCACCAAACAGCTTATTACAGTGTCATTTACACTACTTAAGATCACTATAAAATCTGTTATCTTCTTTTTTATCATTTCATGATAAAGTAAAAGATTACCAATTAGTATTTAGTCTCTAATAGAATGTAATTTGATTTTGATTTATTATTCACTTCTATATAATTTGTCTATATGTGCCACCCTTATTCATTCAATCAGAAACATGAGGAAAATATGAATAATGGTGGAAATGTGATAAAAATAATTTTATCAATGACTACCAGAAAAAAGGAGTTTTCTAGTATAAACTGGAAACTATAATAAAGTAAATATGCAGACTATCCAATCACTGCTTAACATTTTTCAGGATGTTGGCAAATTATTATATTTGCTTTTGAGACAGAGCAGTTATGCCATTTTTTATTGTTGTTGCTACCTTGTCCATATTTCTGTAATACATGTACAGCAGAAAATCTCTATATTAACTACATCATTGGGCATATGTTGCAAATCCCATTTGGGGAATACAAAATTATGTACGTTTAATTTTTTCTGGCATTATATTTCTCTCTAAATTAACTCTTTTATTGTCTGATGTAGTTGAAATGATCTAAGGAAACTTCGTTTTGTTTTTGTTTTATAAGCGTATATTTCTGTTTTTCTTTCACATAGATTTAGAAGTTCAGATGATGACACAAAAGTCTTATGTAACTAACTGGCAGAATAAGACAGAATGGGTGAAAATTGCCCATAGAAGAAGAGGAAAGACTACCAAGTAACAAATGAGGGACAAGCACTTGGAAGGGTCACTAAAATCTATGATAAAGGATTCCTTAAATATTCTAAAGGCAGAAAAAATTATCTAGAGAATCAGTGAAATAATTAGTTGATGAACATAAAGTATGAGGCAGCTGCATTATATATTTATGAGAATATTGGAGCTTGGAGTTTCCCATAAAGCATGAAAAAAAGTAGAATATACTTTAAACAGTAAGTCATATTTATCAAACCTCCACATACAGATATATGCTATAAGCTAAAAAATATAAATAGATTCAAATGAGTTTAGATATCAATAGGTTTAAATATTCATGGGTAATACACTCATTCTATATTAAAGGAAATTAGAATATTTGGAAGTTATCTTTGACTATTTAGAAAGTCATAGAAGACAGTCATTTACTCACTAACATTTACCAGGAAACTCCAAGGTTTCATATTCTGGAGGATAAAAAATAAGAGGTATGATCCCTGCCCTAAAATTACTAATAGTGAAGTAATAAAGGATGGTAATGCTATGAATTATAGTAAATACTATGATAGAGTCACCTATGAGGTACCGTGGAAGTACATCCCATAGACTTACAGGACAAGGAAGAATTCCTGGAAGAGTAAAGTTTTATTAGTTAACCACGAGTTAGCTAGGGAAGATGAAGAGAAGAAGTGTTTTATTCAGAGAGAACAATATATGAAAAGGCCTAATATTATGAAATATAAGACAAAGGTTCTATGTGACTGATGCTTCGGGAAATGTTGAAGAGGTATCAGGATATGTAGCTATAGACTTGGTAAGAGACATTTTATGAAATAACTTTTGTGCCAATCTAAAGAAATCAAACCTATTCGTAGATGCTGTTGAAGGAGTAAAATCAGAGGAGTGGGTCAAGATCAGAATTACGTTTTAGTTCATTATAGCAAAGAGGTAGAGGATCAATTAAGAGCACAGTCTGGAGCCAGAGTACAGTAGAAAGCTGTTATAATGTTCTAGGCAAGAGAATGAGTATGAAGGTGGAGTTGGGATTGAGTAGGTAGGGTCGGGGGAGTCGAGGATTAATTATAAGTGGTGCATGAAGAGCGTTGTCAGAAATGAAATACTTATAGATTATGAAAACTTTGTTTTAACATTTTAATATAAAGCTTTCTAAAATATAATGTACATTTCTATAATCTTTTATATAGATTATGATCAATGTGGTTTGATTTTTTTTCTTCATGCCCTGGAATCATTAATATGAACATCCATCCAATATTCTCTCTGTTATATTACTGTATTGCCCTTGAGCTGTTAAGCTTTATTCAGTTTTCAGTAAGTAGCTTCTAACAGGTAAGCTTCGTGAGTTCTTCTGTTAAAGATTTTCTATCTGCTCCTTCCTTCACTGTTAGCTGTAATTTTTCTTTTTAAAATCAAACTCTTTATTTTGAGATAATTATAGATTCACAGGCAGTTGTAAAAAAATAATACAGAGAGATTCCATATACCCTTTACTCAATTTTTCCCATTGGTAATATCTTGCAAAACTATAGTACAGTATGAAAACCAGGATAATGACATGTATACAGCCAAGATACAAAACATTTCCATCACCATGAGGATCCCTCATGTTCTTCTTTTATAGACACACCCACTTCCCTCCCTACCCCTATACCCTGGAAATCACTAATCTGTTGTTTCTCCATTTCTACAATTTTTTTATTTCTAGATTGTTACATAAATACGATTGTACCATATATAACTGGGATTCATTCAGGTTGTTGTGTGCATCAGTAGTTTTTTTCCTCTTTGTTTCTGAGTATTATTCCATGATATGGATGCACCAGAGTTTGTTTAGCTATTGACCCATTGAGGACATCTGGGTTATTTCCAGTTTGGGGTTATTACAGAGTTGCTATAAACATCCATGTGTAGTTTTTTGTAAGAACATAAGCTTTTATTTCTCTGTAATAAATAACCATGAGTATAATAGCTTGATCATATGGTAGTTGCATGTTTAGTGTTTTAAGAAAATGCCAACTGTTTTTCAGAGTGACTGTACACACAGCAATGCAAGAGTAATTCAATTTTTCCATATCCTGACTAGCATTTGGTGTTGTCACTATTTTTTATTTTAGCTGTTCTGATAGGTATGTAGTAACATCTCATTGTTTTAATTTGCGTTTCCCTAATGGCTAATGATGTGAAATGTCTGTTCATGTGTTTATTTGCCATCTGTCTATCCTCTTTAGTGAAATTTCTCTTCACATTTTTTTATCCATTTCTAATTGGATTATTTGCTCTTTTACTGTTGAGTTTTGAGAGTTCTACATATAGTCTAGATATTAGTCCTTTGACAGGTATGTTGTTTGCAGTTTCCTCTTATCCTGGAGATTGTCTTTTGATCTTCTTAATAGGGTCTTTCCCAGAGCAAAAGTTGTGAATTTTGATGAAGTCCAGTTTATCAGTTTTTCTTTTTATGGACTGTGATTTTTAATGCCAAGTCTAAGAATCCTTTGTTTAGACTTAGATCCTGAGAACTTTCTTCTATGTTTTATCTTAAAAGTTTTATAGTTTTATGTTTTATAATTAAGTCTGTGATCCATTTTAAGTAAATTTTTGTATGAAATATGAGATGCAGGTCAAGGTTTTGGGGTTTTATTTGGTTATTTTGGGATTTTTTGTTTTTGCTTGTGTGTATATGTGTGGTATTTTGCCTTTGTCCAATTGATCCAGCATTCTTTGTTGAAAGGCTATCTTTCCTCCATGAATTGTTTTTGCACCCTTTCAAAAATCAGTTGGGCATATTGGTTCGGGTCTTTTTCTGTGTTCTGTATTCTGTTTGATTAATTTTTGTGTCTATTCCTCCACCAATACTACCCAATTTTGTTTACTATAGCTGTTTATTTTCTTCAGATCACAGAAGCTGATTCTTCCCATTTTATTCTTCTTTTCAAAAATTGTGTTAGCATAAGTGCACATACAAGAATTACATTTATTGGATGTCGGGCGGGGGGAGAGGGGAGGAGGGCATGGGTATATGCATACACAAAGAGTGCAATGCGCACCATCCAAGGGATGGACACACTTTAAACTCGAACTTGGGGGGAGAGGGGGGGACAAGGGCAACATACGTAACCTAAACATCTGTACCCCCATAATATGCTGAAATAAAAAAATGAAAAAAAAATTGTGTTAGGTATTCTAATATCTTTGTTTTTACATATAAAATTTAGAATACTCTTATCTAAACCTGCGAAATATATTGCCGGGAGTTTGATAGGAATTGCGTTACCAATATGGGATGGGGAGAATTGACATCTTTACTATGTTGAGTCTCCTAATTAGTCTACTGAGTTTTTAATTTCAGTTATTGTGTTTTTCGATTCTAAAATTTCCATTTGATTCTTCCTTATATTGATTGTTTAGATCTTTATTTTCTGAGACTTTCTATTTTTTCATTTGCAAACATGTCCATAGTTGCTCATTGAAGCATTTTTATCATGGCTGCTTTAAAATCTTTGTCAGATAATTCAAACATTTCTGTTGTCTTGGTGTTAGCATCTATTGATTGTCTTTTTTATTCAGTTTGAGACTTTCCTGGTCCTTAGAATGACAAGTGATTTTCTATTGAAACCTGAACATTTTCATATTATATTATGAGATTCTGCAACTTATTTAAACCTTTCACTTTAACTGCTCTTTCTGTCACAGCTCCAGCAGGGAAAGGAGGGAGGCAGCCTCACTACAGATAGATGAAGGTAGAGGCCTAGGTTCATACTCAGCCCCTCTAGACACCAGAGGGGAGGGCTAGGAGGGTTCCTTATTACTGCTGAGTAGTAGTGGGAGTTCCAGCTTCTCAAATGGTCTCCACTGACACCACATTGAGAGTGGCCTTATTACTGCTGGAAGGTGATGAAAGTCATGTCTCTCCACAAGCCTCCTCAGACACCACCCAATCCGGAAGAGGTACGGGCACTTCTTACTGCTGGCCGGGTGAAAGTCCAAACTCCCCACATAGTCTCTACTAATACCAGGGTGGGGAGAAGGCCTCATTACTACTAGGTGGGAATGAAAGCCCAGCTTCGTACTCAGCTTCTCTGACAGCATCCCTGCAGGCGGGTTGAGGGACCTTGTTTCAAGGGTGGAAAGGGTAGAAATCTAAGTTCCCCACTCAGTCTTTGCTGGCAAGATCAGGGAGGAACCACAGTGTTTTTTCTGTGGTGTTTGGATGGAGTAGTAGGGTTATTATCTAAGTTTCCTGTCTTGCTAATAAGCTGACCTTTCCTGGGGCTAGGGAGAGCAAGCTTGGACCTTTTTTGTCTAAGCTTGTTGATGTTTTCAGGTTTTTTTCTTCTCCTCCAAGTCTGGGATATAGGAAACAAAAAGAAAACCCAGAGAACATAACCACCATGTCCTTCTTCAGGGCCAAAGTCCCTAACTTAGACTCTCATGGTTTTATACATCTATGTATCCACACACAGTCAGTCCTTCAGTATCCATGCAGGATTCATTCCGGACCCCTATGGAGACCAAAATCCACAGGTGCTCAAGTCTCTTATATATTAATAAAATGGTGTAGTATTTGCATATAACTTATGTCTATCCTACCATATACTTTCAACTATCTCTAGGTTACTTATAATACCTAATATGATGTAAATACTAAGTAAATAATGGTTGTACTATATTTTTATTTTTCATTGTTATATTGTTATTTTTTATTCTTTTTTCCACCAAAATATTTTAAATTTGGGTTTGGTTGAATCTGCAGAT